CTGTACTACATCTTGAGGTTTCTGTCTGCATCCTACACATTTTCACAAGGCAGAGACTTATCTCTTCCAGCTGTAAGCCAGAGGGAGTGGTGCTACAGATTCCTAGCAACACATGCAGACTCAAACAACACAGATGGTTAACTCCCTTGAGTAGGGCTTTTAGGGCACCAGAACTCCATTGCAATTCACTGACGGACTGGATATACATTTGTATAGCTTCTGTTGCAGTTTGATGAAAACTAGGCATTTTTCCCCCTGGTATTCCTGAATCACTGTCTGAGAACAAGTTGGACTCTGGTGCATAGAAAACTCGTGGCAGAAGGCTTATTCTCTGCAGTGGGTTGGGGGTATGCCGAAAAAGGTGTCAGGGAAGATTAACTTGAGGCAGAATGTGCCACAATTAGGACTTGGAAGGGAAGCAAGTTTGAACTGCTTTGGGAAAGCTAAGAATGCTGCTAGAGCTGGAATGTTCCAGATGCTTGTCTTTGATAGTATTCCACTGTGAACCCACACCCTGAAAGAATCTGATCATCCTTGCCTCTCCCATTTGGATCTCTAGCTCCTGGAATTTGCCAGTTCTTCATATGAACTGTGAGATTTGGACAGGACAGAGCTTCTGTGACCTCATTTAGATCATTTGTTCTGAATTCTGAATAGAACCAGGAAAATTGGAAAGCAGAGAAGAATTGGGGTCAGAAGAGAGAGAGATTACTTTATGAAAGAACGAAGATAGTAGGAAATTAGACCAGTGAGTTAAGAGGCAATTAAAAAGGAGGATTAAAGAGAAAGTTTTAGCCTGTATCTTCTGCCAAGATGTTTGATTGGCACACCGTTCATGCTCCACGCTTTTGTATAAGTAAATGAATGAAAGGAAATTTGGAGTTGGAGGCCTAGTCCCTGGAAACTGCTACAGGCTGATGTTAACATAAAGCGATCTGTTCTTGATTTAAAAAGTGCATTTCTGTGTCTCTATGTTGCTTATTTTATAAAGAGCCAAAGGGGATCATTTATAACTGTGCGAGAAGGAATTCTGCACTAGGAAGTATAGGGAAAGTGTGGTAATATTGGTAAATGATATTAACACCAGTCTAGAAGAGGGGGACAAAAATTAAGTGTCTCATGCAGTACTACCACAAGGCAGCTCATACCATGAGTTAGCTGAGACCACCCAAAAAGACAAGCAATAATGACTGAGGCAAAGAGACAAAGGAAGAACCATGGGTCTTGGGGAAAGGGACCCAGATAAATCAAATTCAACTCAACAGAGAACAAGGTCCAGGGAAAAGTTAATTCACTTGAAAGAGAAGGAAATCTGCAGCCTTTCAAGATATTTTTAGACAATTTATTGAATAACTTTTATTGGTGTTCATTATAAATAAGAGAATTACAATCATATTCCAGAGTGCGTTTTTGGTCTAATTGACTATAATCGTCATTAAATAATCTTCTAAAGGCCCACAAAATGGAGTGTAGACAGATGCAACAACAGCAGACAACACAGATCTATCTATAGGAGGTTATACTTGTACTTTAACATGCAACAAGAGCCTTTATTAAAATGTACAATTAAAGACTTGACTGCACTAGAAGGTCCATATGAATCACCTGGGAAATCTTGTTAAAATATTGATTTTGATTCATAGATCCCGGTAGGGCCTGAGATTCTGCATTTCTAACAAGCTCCAAAGAGATACTAGAGTGGCTTACTAGTTGGATGGTCCTCGAGTCACACTTTGGGTTACAAGGACCCACAAGGTTACAGGGTTCTGTTTGGTAAGTGTTGGTAACCACCCGTGGCTAGGCGTAGGTAAGGGCTGTCCTCTGATCCATCTTGGATGCCAGTTTGTAATGAAAACAAGTCTCAGCACAAACTCGGTCACATGGGAACATTAGCCACGGGGCGCAAAACAAGCTTAAAACCTGTGCCAAAGGTACAGTGAAGTCACAGCTCTGCCTTTTGGCCTCACAATCCACACCTCTAACCACATTCCTTTAACATAGTGGTGATCTATGTGTGATCCTTGACAGCAGCAGCAGCATCTCCTAGAAACATGGTAAACATGCAGATTCTCAGGCCCTCCTGAGACCTAATGAATCAAAAAATCTGGGTGTAAGCACTGTCTGGAAATCTGTATGTTTAATACTCCTCCAGATGTTTCTGGTATAGGACTCAAATTGGAGAACCCCTGCTATAACAGTAGGATTCTGTGAACCATCTACTTGAATTCAGGCAAGCAAGAATCCAATGAACCACTGTTGGACATTTTGGAGTCCAACCTAGGGCACCATTTCTAAAGATGGGGGCCTATTAGACTCTTCTCACACCCAGTTAATGCAAGGGCCGGGGATGGTTCTAAACATTTTCATATAGTCCTTCTATTTTGCAAACCACTAATACTACCAATGCAAGCCCATCTAACATTCATTAGGATAATTAATGATAGCCCTGGTGTAATAGGAGCTAAATATAGCTGAAGCACTTCCAGTGGCCACCTCTAGAGTGAGGTTTTTTGATTAATTGCTAGCCAACCACCCCTGGAGTGTGCATTCTTGATTAAAACAACTGACCACCTCTGCAGTGTAGCTTAACACGTTAAGCACACAGTCAGTCACCGGGGACTGACTATACTTTCTGTCCGGAAGACAAAACAGGCTGGGCGCTTAAAGTGTTAACACACATACATCTTATTGTATTGCCTGGGTGATTTTTTTTTAATTTTTAAAATCTGCTTTATTAAGGCATAGTTTAAACAGAATCAGATGCTCTCATTCTAAGCGTACAGTTTGAGGTTTTCTTGTTTTTGTTTTGTTTTGGACATATTTTTATTGATTTTTAGAGACAAAGGGAAAGGGGAAAAAGAGAAACATTGATGTGAGAGCAAACCATCCATTGGCTGCCTCCTGCATGTCCCTTACCTGGCATTGAGCCTGCAATCCAGGCATATGCCTTTACTGGGAATCGAACCAAACCTTTCAGTGTGGGGGACAACGACCAACCGACTGAGCCATTCTGGCCAGGGCTACAGTTTGACTTTTGGCAAATGTATACACTCATGTAAACTCTATACCAATCAGGATATATAACATTTCAATCACCTGAAAAATACCTTTGTGTTCCTTGTGGCCAGTTACCAAACTCCATATCACACTAGGCTACCATCTATCTGCCTTCTATCACTATAGGTGAGATTGGCTGTTCTAGAATTTAATAAACAGACTCAACCACTATTTATTATTTGTTTTTGGCTTCTTTTACCCAGCATTGTGTTTTTCAGATCATTTAACATTATTGTATGATTCATAGTTACTTCTTTTTTATTGCTGAGTAGTATAGTCATCCCATTGTATGGCTTCACCATGATTTGTTTATTCATTCTTCTATTGGTTTGTTTCCAGTTTGGGGCTATTATGGGCATTCATGTACACATCTTTTTGTGGACATGTATTTATTTCTTTTCAGTAAACATCTAGGAGTAAAATAGTTGGTTGTAAGATAGATGTATGTTTAATTTCATAAGAAATAGCTAAACTAGTCATTCTGTTTTTCATTCACACCAGCAACTATATGAGAACTCCAGTTGCTTCACATCCTTGCCAACATTTAGTATTGTCAGTTTTTCCCCCCGCTGAATATTTTAAAGTAAATTACAAACATTGTTTTTCTTCCCTGTAATTTCAATTCAGGTTTTTATGTTTGGTCTCTGCAAAGGCCATAAAGCTTATAATGTTGACCCAAGTGATTTGGATATGGGTTATTTGTTACATTATTTCCCTTTCCTAACCCCCAATTAGAATTTGTTTTGTGCCCAGCTGGTGTGGCTTAGTACCAAGAGGTCGCTGGTTCCATTTCTGGTCAGGGCACATGCCAGGTTTGTGGGCTCCATACCCAGCAGGGGTGTGCAGGAGGCAGCCAATCGATGTTGATGTTTCTCTCTCATCCATGTTTCTCTCTCTCCCCCTTTCCCTTCTTCTCTAAAAAAATCAATTAGAACATTAAAAAAAAAAAAGAATCGATTTTGTGGGTGCAGTTGATTATGGCAGTCATGCTTGCTAGTATGCTTTTTTCTTTTGTTCATTCATTCATTCAGTCTGTTAATCAGTTGTATTAGACTTGCTTTCAGAGAGCAGTCAGATATTAAATTACTGGGAAGTATGACAAAAGTAGGAGACCGGATTCTTGTTTTCAAGGAGCTTTTTGGAGCCGGGTTCCTGAAACATAAATATACAGAAACTCTAGAAAAGAAATATTGCCCAGGGTGTATCAAGGCTTGCATAGACTTGAGTAAGGGTATCATCTAAATATAACTTGTAGCTAGGTGAGTTGGAGCTCGATAGACAATTGACTGTAGAAACCACAATAGCAGAAATTGTTGAATTGTTAATCTATGCTGAATACTAGAATGATTACACTTTAGAATATAAACTAAATGTTTATTTTAGTCCCATTTATATTTTAAAATGCATCATACACACACATATATGTTGGGTAAGAATATTCAAAATGTTAACAGTGCATATCTTTGGGTAATGGGCTCATGGATGACTTATTTACTTGATTTTATATTTTCCTTTAATTTCCAATTTTTCCATGGTGAATATATTTAACTTTTATATTCTAATCAGAGAAAAATGTTATGTTGCCATTTGAGTTTTGCTAAGTTCTAATGGTTGTTTCAGTAATATATTCCTTGTTCTCTTTACTCTACAATCAAACCAGGATTACAGCTTGAAAAAAAAATGCCTGAAAACCCTGCAGACTAGTCCACTGTAGTCCTTCTTAGAACTTAGGTGTCTGGATTATCAAAGAGAAAAAAAGATGTTTTTATTAATTTCCCCGTATCTACATAATTTTACTTCCCCAAACTTGGGGAATATGTGAGATTATTTTCCCTAGCCTATTTTTGTCATTGTTATTGCAGTTGGCAAATTATTGTGACTTTTTGTCTGTGATTTCTGATGAAATAACAAATGATCTGTGTTTCCCCCTTTGTTTTCTCCAGCTGACCTGAATAATGTCAGGTTCTCGGCTTATAGGACTGCCATGAAACTCCGAAGACTGCAGAAGGCTCTTTGCTGTGAGTGTTTTACCAGTTCTGGATATTTACTCTTTCTCTTTCTTTCTTTCTTTCTTTCTTTCTTTCTTTCTTTCTTTCTTTCTTTCTTTCTTTCTTTCTTTCTTTCTTTTTTTTAATATATTTTATTGATTTTTTACAGAGAGAAAGGGAGAGAGATAGAGAGCTAGAAACATTGATGAGAGAAACATCCACCAGCCGCCTCCTGCACACCCCCCACCGGGGATGTGCCCGCAACCAACGTACATGCCCTTGACCGGAATCGAACCTGGGACCCTTAAGTCTGCAGACCGACGCTCTACCGCTGAGCCAAACTGGTTTTGGCTGGATATTTTCTCTTGATAGTTACTCTTTGCTTTAAAAAAAGGGGGGGGGGAGGATGGGGTCATTGTGGGTAACAAACAAAGCAGTTATCTGTAATCCTTTTAGCAATAAAGATAAATTAAAAAATAAAAAATAACCTGGCAGGTGTTGCTCAGTGGTTGAGCATCAACCTATGAATCAGGACATCAGGGTTCAATTTCCCGTCAGGGCACATGCCTGGGTTGTGGACTCTATCCCCAGTGTGGGTGTATAGTAGGCTGCAAATCAGTGATTCTCATCATTGATGTTTCTATCTCTCCTTCCTTCCTCTTTGAAATCAATAAAATATATATTTTTTAAAATTAAAAAATTAAATTTAAAAAAATGGGTCCAGGGTATTTTCTGTCTTTTTTTTTTAATCCTCACCCAAGGATATGTTTTTATTGATTTTAAAGAGATAGGGAAAGTGGGAAGGAGGGACAGTCATTGATATGAGAGAGCAATATTGATCAGTTGCTTCCCGTATAAGCCTTGACTAAGGATGGAACCTGCAACCTGGGTTTGTGTCCTGACCAGGGCACAGAATGACGCTCCAACCAACTGAGCCACATGAGTCAGGGTCGGTTGGGGGTATTTTCATTTGGAGAGACAGGGAAAAGAAGCTATGACAAGTCCATTTGTAACAGAGTTCATTTTTTAAAAGTATCGTTGGCCTAATGATTACCTAGAGTTTTTTATATTGTTTAGAATAATTTTTGGCACCATTCCTCAGCTACTGATATTGAATCACTAAAATATTGATAATCTTATTTTCACACTAGTGGCACTGGCATCCAGAATTATCTTTATGAAACTTGAATTATGTCTTCCTATTGAGAGGTATTTAGTACTACTGGGTTTCCCCGAAAATAAGACATCCTCCGAAAATAAGACCTAGCACATGGAAAGATAAGACATCCCCTGAAAATAAGACCTAGCCCAACTTTGGGAGAAAAAATTAATATAAGACACTGTCTTATTTTTGAGGAAACAGGGTAGCAGTAGTAATATTAGATTGCCTTATCTAAACCAAAGTTTGAACTTTTAAGGCTCTCTTGGGAATATACTATCATATGCTAAGTGTCTGATCATCTAGTCAGTTGTTCAACCAATCAAAGTGTAGTATGCTAATGATGTGCTAAGGCCACTCAACTCCTTGCTATGATGTGCACTGACCACCAGGGGGCAGACAACCAGTAGGTTAACTTGCTGCTGGGGTCTGGCCAATTGGGACTGAGTGAGATGGGCTGGACATGCCCTGGAGCCTTCCTGCATCCCTCCCCAATCCCTATCGTGCACCAATGGGATCCCTCAGCCTGGCCTGTGCCCTCTTGCAATCCGGGACCCCTTGGGTGATATCAAGAGAGCTGGTTTTGGCCTGATGGTGGAAGGAGCGGTTGCTGTGACATGCACTGACCACCAGGGGGCAGGCGTTCAATGCTGGAGCTGTCCCTGGATGGTCAGTGCACTCCCACAGGGTGAGTACCGCTCATCCAGAAGCTGGGCTCACAGCTGGCCAGTGCAGTGGCGGTGGTGGGAGCAGGCCTAAGCCGTCAGTCAAACATCCCCCCGTGTTCCTGGACTGTGAGAGGGCACAGGCCAGCTGAGGGACCCACCCCCCACCATACCCCCAGTGCAGAATTTCATTCACTGGGCCCCTAGTATACAATAGCACTTCACAATAACCAGTTCACAATTAGTCCTTTATCAATGGAAAGCAGTATCTCTGGGACAGGAACAGAAAAAGAAAAAGAGGCAGAAGACTTTTTCAATCAGGCCCGCTGACTCCGCCCCACCCCAAGCTGCCTCTTTCCAGCTCTGGGACATTAACAGGTCCCTATGGAAATCCTGGGCCTGGAAAGCCCTTTAAAACCACTTAAACTTGGCAGCTATATCGCTGAAAAATGATAACAACTTCAGACTATAAGCTGGAGAAATAAAAACCTAAATTTATTTTCAGTCATGCATCCATTTCACGAAAACGTATTCAACCCTACTCCGTGCTAGGCTTTCTGCTAAGCATTGGAGAGACCAAAATTAAGAAGAAAAGCCTCTCTCTCTCTTTCCAAATAATTCCACTTTTAGGATGTTTCCTCTCCGTTTTCCATTTATAAAAACACTTGCCAGTGACTCTCCTTAACCATCTCATTGCTGGCCTCCTCAGACTCCTGGTTAGACCCCCTCATTCCCGAAGACTTGGCAGTCAGGGTTCATGGTCTTTTTCTATTTCCCAGTACTGGCCCCAATTCTGGATGACTTCAACATTGGCATGGATAATTCATGCATCACTGTGGCCTCTCAGTTCCTTAACTTCCTATTTTATCTCCATGGAGATTCACATCTGCTCCACCTCTGCCATCTACTCAAATGATCATCTCCTGGACCTAATGAACTGGTCAGGACACATGCTTGATCCCTAGTGTGGGGCGTGCAGAAGGCAGCTAATCAATGATTCTCTCTCATCATTGATGTTTCTCTCTCTCTCTCCCTGTTCTTCCTCTCTGAAATCATTAAAAATATGTATTTTTTTAAAAGACTGTCCCTTTTCATAAAGTTCATTTTGACCTTGGATTTAGGCATTATTCAGTTCTCCTGTTAAAATCTCTGTTCACATGTTTGTCTAATCATCTATCATTTCAATTTATTTTAAATATTCTAATAAACTTTGGAGAAACAGTGATTTTTGATACTATTTAAAAAATTCGGCCATTTGAGGTTATAACCTTGTAATAAAGTTAAGCCATGAATGTAGAATGGAGAATTTTCTCATTTGATATATTTGAAATTCTCAGTAGTTTCTTTCTGAGAATGACTTTTCTCATATTTGGAACAGATTTAAGTCTAGCAAAATTAGGGTGTATTAACTTAAGTACTGGATTCTTAAGAATGGTAGGAAGAGTTCCATGTATAGTATGAATATAGAATGAAGAGTTCACCAATCATTTTATTATTGAAAACCTGTGTGGTCATATTACTTAAGTAATTGTTCAGTAGATGATCGAAGAATTTCCTCTTAATTTTATATTTACTTGGGTTTCTCTTCCAGCCTTTTTTGTTATTTCTATGCCTGCAAACCATGATAAAGAGCCATTGTTTGTGGGACAGGCAAATAAAACTTGTTCTGGCTAGCTTTTCCAGCCGAAGGTCACTTCTGCTAACTCTTACTTTAATGAAAATTAATGATGTTATCTCAGTGATTTCCTGATGCCAGTGAAAAGTTTGAATTACATGCGCATTAGAAAATAAGCAATGCTCCTACCATTAAGCAACTTGGTCTTATTTTTTAAAATATATTTTTATTTCAGAGAGGAAAGGAGAGGGAGAGGAAAAAAAACAAACAAACATCAACGATGAGAGAGAATCAGTGATCCACTGCCTCCTGCATGCCCCCTACCGGGCATTGAGCCCACAACCTGGGCACGTGCCCTGCCTGGAAATCTAACCATGGCCTTCTGGTTCATAGGCTTACAGTCAACCACTGAGCCACACGGGCCGGGCAGTCTGATTTATTTATTTATTTTTAGTTCACATCAGAGCTTCAGTATGGCAGAAACCCGAATAACAGTTTTATCCACTATAGAGAATTTTCCACTTAAATCAAGAACACCATCGTGGCCCTATAATGTCCCCACTTTGTAATCAATTTAGAGTTACATGACTTCATATTGCTTTTCAATGCATTGTGAATGAAAATTAAACTGGACAGAAAAGCAGAGAAAGAGAAAATCTTGGTAAGAAGGATTTCATAAAGTGGTTCCTATCACTGATACCCCATTAAAAGTTACGAAGAGAATAATCTAAATGTTTTCTTTCTCTTTCTGTAGTTCTGATGGCATATTAGAGGTGTGTGGCTTCTAAAATAAAAAAAAATAGAGCCAACTTCTAAGAGCAGAAATAAAAATACACTTAAACAAAGTACATGCATTTAGTTGAGTATCACCGTGTGTGGTGGACTCTCTCCAAACCATAGGACCAAATATATTGCAAGTTGATAAATGTGGCAAATACCCTGAAAATAAGAAACTGAGAACAATTTGCTTCTGTTCAGCAGCTCAATCGCACAGTTGAGAGATTTTGAATAGCCTGGAGCTGTCTGAGCAAAGGTACATCCTCGCCGTGACAAACCAGGTGAAAAATGCGCTCCCTTCTTGGTAAATGTTCCTCACCTTTGAGGGCGCGCTAAGGTGGCATTAGACAGGGTTCAGTAGCTAAAGAAGACTCACAGGACCCATGATAACATGACTTACAAATCTACACTCTTCCAGGAAAAGGCTTCACTTGGGCAATAGCATTAAAGACAGGATATGCATTCACAGCCACACACTGTCTCCCAGAAAGGGGGCCTGAGAGGCTAGTGGGATTATTTTGTCCTGCCCCCACAAAAATCTGCTTTTCCCGTGTACTGCATATAATTTTTTTTTTCAGATAGTTTGGAGACCAGACCTATGTTATTTCATAATTCAACACATCTTGAGCACAGGGCCAAACTAATTCTCTAAGCTTATCTGGTTTGACAGATATTGACGTCCAAAGAGAGGGGCCACATCTCTTTCCTAGGGAAAGCACTGTAGTCCTGTTTAAAGCTTGTATAATAGCCATGGTGTGCACATGAGGGAAGGAATGGCTGGCCCTCGATGTGGTGCGGAAGCTATTAAGATATT